AGCCTTGAAACATTTTGTGAAATGTAGACTTAAGCTCTCTAGGGTATTAAAACTTCTCACACTTGGTTACCAAATTTTGTCCAAGCGCCTTCCAAGTATGGACTGAGAGCATCAAGAAATACATGAATAGCTAAGGTACTTATATTGACCTCAAAGGTGCTTGGACATATTAATTCCAAATAGAGCCATTCTTGATAGGATTCAGAACTCTAAAGAGACTATGTTGGCAATTTGCATTCAATTCAAAATTTAAATAAATCCCTCACCACATTGTCATGGATACATAATATATATCACATTTCAAGATAATTGACTCATGCCATCAATTGATAATTGATATTATCAAGTTTCAATTTCCTTAAATGTATTTCAATGTCTTTCAACACTTTGATGTTATTGGACTCATATATTTTATTACAGTATATAACGAGATCAATTTAAAATTGCATAGCGTCTTGCGAATAAGATGCATATATAGAAAGAGCAAGTGCCCAATATAAAATGTTACAATAGTTTGATGCCATTACGTGCGTCATATATGTGTGAAGGGGAGTTGGCTAGGCACGACATATGATTTCAAAATCTTTGAATGCATCAATAAAGATCTAACATATAAGTTTCAATGCATCCTCCAGATATCATGCATATTTGAAATTACTTTCAGATGATTGAAATATGATTATTGCCTTTACATATAAATAAGAGTGAAAACTTTAATGGGAGGCGTATCATAAGGATTGTAGATATCCCCTACCGTGGGATTTTCTTAGGAAATACTGGGAAGACATATCACTTACATAATTAGGGTAAGAAACAATGTAATGCATAATGGTATTCAACAAGACAGTTCACCCACGTTTCTTTGAGTGTGGAAGAAAAGAAGTACATATTTGTCAAATATGCCAAGCATTAAACTAAAGAAATATCAACCAGTGACAACAATCATTCTCCATGATTGCATTTAGAGGTTGTTTGATTGGAAGTAAAGTGAGTGTAAAGTAAATGCAAAGGTTTTAAGAAGTTTAGTGTTTGGTTGTATGAAAAATAAATTCAAGATAAAATAAAGTGAATGCAATGTATTCAATTTTAGTTCATTTTTTTAGGTAAACCGTTCTCACCCAGCTTTTAACAAGAACCATTTACACTGCTCCAAAGCTTGCTTGACCACCGCCAACAGCCACCGTCTCAACCACCCACTGTCGACCACCGTCGTCAACCATCTCCACCACTCTCAACTGCCCACCGCCGCCATCACAAGCTGACCACCGCAGCAATCATCACCGGTCACCACCATAGCAGCCCTCCAACGCTAGCTGCCGCCACCGCCAACCACCGAGCACAACCTTTTTACACTTTACATTGCATTCACTTTACTTCAAACAAAAAAAAAGTAAAGTCATGCATTACTTTTACACTCATCCAAACAACTTTAAAATATTCCTTTTACACAACATTTCTTTTCCAAGCAACCAAACAACCCCTTGGTGGCATTCAACACCATCAAATTCTTATTTTGATTATAGTGATGTAAATAAAATTTTTGCAAGGATCATATCAGTTTACCACATTGGGGTTCATCTACCATTTGGGAGGTCATTGCATTGTCAATATCATTTTATTAGCACTGATTCTTGACACCATTGGCATTTAAATTCATAAATGATTGTGTGGAACATTGCTATTTGGTAACTACTATAATTCAATTCATTGGATATCGAAATAAAGGTTATTTGTTAACTGCAGTGATGGTGCTAAATTGATGCATTAATAAATACCATTTCACCATTTAGGGGATTATTATAAATGATACCTAATAAGCAACTCATGTTACTTGCTTGCTATTTCTATGCACAATATCCATCTCAGTTATTGCTTTTTACTAATCTTCATATTAGGCATAACTTTAAGTTCTCCCTCCTTGGTCACTGAGGTCCAAGTACAATAAAGGCCCATAATATGTATGGAATCCTTCTTATGTGCCATTGCCTAGAAGCTAGTTTAAGCTATATATTTATCAGTCATAAACTCAGCCCGTTGTATTTCCATTCATCATAAACCTGCTTTCATGCAATTCAATTTCGGTATAACTATCGAAAACGTATATGACAATTCTTTCTTCTAAACAAGTCACAGTATCACCAATCAAAACATAAACTACCTCTCTACTCTTCTCCACCTTCTTATAATTGTTGATAGTACCTCTCTTGGCCTCAATACCTCTAAAAAAGATAGAAAGGAATCTCAAGGATTAAACATCATCATAATTAGCCTTATCCCATCTTTTTGAGGTAGTACTATCCCAACTATTTAGGGCTGGCACACATTCCCCAATTGCCCTTTCTTAATGCTACATGTGTTAAATAACATATTCTTCACTAATCTTTTATAAAAAATTTATTAAAGTTACCTCGGACTACATATTTTTCTTCCTAATCCTTGGCATTCATTTTATATGCTCATCTTATTGGTGCATCTTCTACCTTAATTATACATGAAAAATTCACCTAAATCTATTTTTCACTACCATTTCTTCAACTGATGCTAAGATCATTCCCACTATTAATATGATCAATTTACAATCTAACCTTCCTAATTTTGCAACACATCCATCTTAAAATTCTCATTTATGTCACACTCAAATTTATCTATGAATGACTTCTCTATTAACGGCATTCAAATCCATACATTGCTGCTGCAATATTATAAAATTTACCTTTAAAACTGTGGGCTCCGAAAATTCAGCCCCGGCCTCCGCTCGCTCTTCTTAACTGGTTCAGCGCCGTTTACAGTGAATAGTCCTGTAGCTAGTAACGGGATTTCTGCAGGATTTGCGGTGATTTGGGCGTCTCGACAGAGCAGAGGTATGTACAAGGGATTTCTATTTTTCTTTCTCTTTTGGTTTATACATGGAGGTCAACAAAAACTATCATGATCTTCTCTTATTATACAATAGGCATTTCTCCATTTCAATGACCAAGCTCTTATTTTAGAAGTTAACTCCTTATCCATTTCATCATTCTTCTAAATAAAGATCCAAGTTACTTCAACACATCACACATGATAATGAACCTTATTTTCTAGTAATATTGGCTAATAGTTTCTAATATCACATCCAAGGTTTTAAAAGGAGAAATCGGGAATCGAGATGTTTTTCTAAGCAAGGAAAGGCGTAAGCCTCGAGTCGGAATGAGGCATAAGTCTCAAAATAATAAAAATAAGGTAATTAATTTAAATTAAATAAAATGAAGGTTTGTATAACTGCAGAATGAGGTAACCCTTAGTGTTATTGTTTAAGTATTTATACCAGAAGAGTTCGCTAGAACCATCGCCAAGTATGCAGAAAGCTTCCAGTGCAAGGCAAAGACTTCACTCAAACCAAAATGCTTCCACTTTCTTCATATTCGAGAACTTCGTCTAGTCCGTAGACAATGAACCCATCTCACATTTTAATTCCTTCCATCGAAGCTTCGAAGGTGATGTTTCGTAGTTCTGACAACACTTTTTAAATGGAAGCCTACCGGCAAAGATCGACCAAGCATCGGCAAATCCAAGGCAACTAGAGCACGAACATTCCCATTCTTTAAGTATATCTTCCCCTCAACATTCGTAATCACCGACGTCCGACGATGAAACAACGCCAGACGGCTTCTTCTTCAATTCATTCCTCTTCAATGCATTCCGAGAATCCAGAAATCGGAATTCCAAATCCATGACAGCACGGAATGGAAGGTCGTTTGAGAGCACTCCTGTCGAGCTCGATATGCGAGCACTCCTATCGGAAGAAAGGTCTGCGAGCACTCCTAAAATGAGGCATTGCCTCACACTGCCTCGAGGCGTTACGGCTAGACGTGCACGCCTCGCTGAAAAAAATCGCACGCCTCTCCAAATACATTGAGGCTTAAGCCTTGCAGCGCCAGGTTAGCCCCTCGAACTGAGTTGCGCCTCTGTTCGTATGCCTCGACCGCTATTTTAAACGTGGATCACATTTATTAAAATTAGATATCATATATCTAATCTTTATTCAACTAATTCTGAGCCCTTTAACTTCTAAATATTCGCTCTATTATTCTAATTTTCCACTTATTATGATTGATATCTCATTGATTAGATTTATCGTTTGCCAAAAAAAAACATGTAACTTCAAATATCTATTATAAGCATCTCTATGACTAAAGCAAAATCATACGAACATAGCTTGTCCTTGATGCAATCCAAACATGACTGGGAACTTTTTGGTAACTCTACAACTACTTTTAATACTATTCAATACTCTATCATACTATTTTAATAACTTCAATATACTTTAGACATAGTTTTCTTTTATGCATGCCAAATCAATTTTCACATACCCAATCAAATGTCTTACTCGATAAAATATGATGAAATTCCTTTCTTTTCTCTCTATAGGAATTTCACTAATTATTTTAGCACAAAAATCATGTCCATAGTGGATCTTTCAAGCATGAAACCAAATTAATACTCTACATCAACGTAACTATCAAGTCTATGTTCCATAAAGCTCTGCCTAAACTTTTCGCTCTCATAATCCCAACTCTCCTATAAGTGCAATAATCTTAAAAATCTACTTTGCTCTTGAGTAACAGTATTAAAACACTTCTTCTACAATCATTTGGCATCATGTTAGCCTTCAAAATCCAATTGAGAATATTGATTTACCAAACTACAATAATTTCATACATATGTCTACAATCAACAGTAATTTTAGCATGATCCAATGTTTTATTGTCATTCAACTTCTTCAAAGCTAACTTTACTTAACGTTTTTAGGCCAATCTAAAATATGTCGCATTATTCTATTCATTATACTTCCAAATAAAGTTCTTTTTTAAACTTATCGTTCTCTAACACCTCAAAGTAGCATTTTCACCTTGCTTGATGCATTCATCTTTAACTAGAAGTTACATATTGTCAAATTTAAAACATCTAAATCAACATATATATATATATATATATATATGGGATTTTTACATACATAACACTTAAAAGTTTATTATTTACTCATCTAACACCTAAACTTATCTATTTATACACATACCACTTAAAAGCACTTTGTCTTTCTAAAATACCACACCCTTTACTCTCTCCGTGAAAACCAGCCCGATTTAGGGTGGACGAAAGGGGCATTCCGTCCAGTCGTGGGAGTAGGCTCGAGAAGAAAGAAAGACATTTTTTGGTTGGTTTTTCTTACACGGAATACAGAATAAGGTATTCTCTCTGTGAAATGGGGTTTGAGAAATTGGGGAACGGGAAGGAGCGACGAAGGGGGACTCAGAGCTTGTTGAGGAGGAAGCAGGTGGATTCCTATCGGGTGAAGGCGCAGGAGGGAGGTCACCAGCTCGCTAAAGAACTCTCTGTTCTCCAGCTCGTTGCAATAGGTGTTGGAAATTTCAAATCTTTTTTTGTGATCTTGCTGCTTGATTGATGCATTGTGAATTAGATGTAAATTCTACTAAAGCAACTTGTTGTTGTTGTTGACGGTTGTTCAGTAATTCAAATTACAAGATTTTGTTTCGTTTTCACATGTCATATGTGGATTTTTGTTGAGATTAGATCTATGGTATTTTGTCCATTTGATCTAGGCTTTATGATTTTTCTGTTTCGGTGATTTTGTGAAGGAGTTTAATTGGAAGGTGTTGTTGTTTTCAGTTTCTTTTGGCGGAGGACGTTAAGGCTGCCAAATGCGGCCACGATCCTGAGCGGAGTTCGCCGAAGAATAGTCTCGGCCCTTTGGAGTTTCTTTCGAACAGACAGCCGAGAGCAGAGAGGGAGCAAGCAGACGATTTTCATGAACAGGAAGCTGAGTTTCGCGATTATTGGGCGGGTTTTGACGGAGGAAGCAGACGGAATGGTATTTTAGAAAATGAAATAAGTTTTAGGTGGTATGTGTGTAAATAGATAAGTTTAGGTGTTAGATGAGTAAATAAGAAACTTTTAAGTGTTATGTATGTAAAAATCCCTAAAAAAAAAAAATTGATCAAATAAAAATTGAAATTATAAAGCATTGGCTCATGACTAGAGCTTCATTTGGGACGATTTTTTTGTTACTTCTTAAAATAATTTTTTAGTAAAATTTCATATATATATATATATATATATATATATATATATGAACTAAAGACAGAAATCAGTTAATTTTGATTTAATCAATTCATGATCATACAAAGAACTGGACCAAGTTAAACCCAATGCAGTTGAAATAGGATCCTAATCAAACTACTCAAAAATAAGGAAATTTGGATAGAAACAGGGTGAAACCTGCCAACATAATTTAAGAAACAAATATTTTCAGACTATAACCCATAGGCTAAAACAGCACATCAAAGGAAGGCATCAAAACTCGTATCTGACCCATTGGTTTCAAAGGTGAGTCACATGAAATATCTCTAATGATCTATTCGGTCTCTATCTCTCCCACTGGATTATCTGAACACCAACTCAAACTGAGAGAATATACTGAAATCAACCTTTCAAAATAAAATTTTAAAACACGCATCCTATTCAGGAATGTCTACATTCACGTCCTTACATTTCACCTATATCCACAAACTGTCAAAAGGCACGCAGGACGGAAGCAAAAGCTATGAAAATTGAAGGAAAAAATAAAACTTCATAAAAACCATATACCCTTGTAAGTTGAGTTAGTGAAACTAATTCCTAGACCCATTTGGCCTACTGAATTGAATTTCGAAACATTCAAAGAAACCAATTAAAGATTGACTTATGGACGGCCACCTTAGGCAATCTAAACTTCCTCCAGAAAACCCCAGATCAAGAAAATTCAAACCCAAATCCAAAAACCAAATCAAACCTAAATTATATTTCAAAATTAAATCCATGTGACAACATATTGTCACTAGTGTATCATACCTTATTCTACATGGTCTCAAGCAAATAGTTCTTCGATCAACAGTTCAACATGGTGACGTTATCTTGCAGAAAGGAATCTAAGCACACCAATTTCTCAGCATTCATGCAAGTACCCATTCAAGGACGAAAATTGTTTTTACAGCATAAGAAATCAATAATAGCATAAGAAAAAGCAAGAGATTACCATATGTCCTCGGGAAATCCGTACTTGATCAGCTCCTCGTTCTCGTGTTTGTCCAGCCCCATGTAGATCGTGTAGTCCCCAACCTCTGGCCGGGCCTTGAAGTATAAAACCATCTCTTTCCTGCTTCAAGCAAAAGCGTGGATCAGGTCTTACAACCCTTAACTTCTTTTTTCAAGCTCGGTCAGAGAATTTCAGGAGAAACCTGAAGTTTGTGAGGGGAAAGGAAGGATAAGATCGTGAGCTCGCGATCGAAGAAGTTACAAAAGTAGGAGATCGGTAAGCGAAACGATTATAGGGTTCCTCGGAGACTAGGAGAAGGAATAAAAAATCGTCGCGAAGAAATGGTAGTTCAGAATGAAGGCCCCAAACAAACGAGAAATTTCGTTGTTAGAGATAAGAATGCGATGGAAATGACGCAGCTGAGATTGAGAAAAAAGCAAAGCAATCAATTGATGGATGCCTTTTATCATTCAACTTAACTTGCCAACTTCAATAATCTTAATATTGTGTTTAGATTAAACCAAATTTTAATTGGATTTATTTAAATATGATAGTTAACTTCAAATTTTATTATCACTTTAAAATAGATCATTATTTGTTTAAATATAGTCATTAAAATGAGACATAAAACTAAATGACTGCTAAAATAAAAATATGTATGTATTTCATATTTTGATATTTGTTGAACAATAATTGTTTAACACTGTCGTTGCCAGGTCTCAAGTCTTGAATGAGAGAAGTGGAGGATTGCGTTAGGTACTCGATAGACAGCGTAAAGCTTGTCGAATAATCATGATATGAATCCTTTAAAAATTAATGAGATTTTGACTTTTAACCGGACTCAATGGCGAAAAAGTATTCATGTACCCGACCCTACGTAGTGGGATAAAGGCTTGATGTTGCTATTGTTGTTGTTGAACAATAATTTTAGTCTTAATATTAAACGACAAGTACATTATTATTTTTTTTGTTTATAAATAATGATAGCTAATATTCATCTTATATTAATATTAAAAAAAACCCTTAATACTGCTACTAGGATTTATCCTAGTAGTATCAAAAGTTTTTATTGTAAAGCTTGAAAAAATAATATGTCTAAGTTTCAGAATAATTCTTAGTAAATATTATGGGCTAGAAAATATGTAGTGCTAGAGATAATTTAAAATTTAAGGGTTGTATAAAGAGTCCACACACACAAATAAGTGGAGAGCAGCACATATGGGTGTATACCTCCAACCTGGAAAAAGGTAGAGAGCTACACATTAGGACATGAGATTTTTATATAAAAGGCACAAAAGGAAGAAAAATTATGGGGTCTAACCCAGTTGAAAATAATTGTGGGTAAAAAATTATAAAGTGTGGCATTAGACACAACTAAGAAGAGTGCTAATAGAATGAGATAAGCATGAACCTTGAAAGATATTTCCTATGGAGATTTTAAGAGTTTTGAGGTGTCAGAGTTATCATAAGTAATTACTGTGGGATGATAATTGATGGTCGATGTAAGGAAGATAAGGTATGGAGGGTGTTTGACATGGTCATTGTCCTAACATGAGGAGAGATTATGTAGTTGGGAAGACTAATGTAGGACATTGGTAGATAACAGATATTGATCATTGACTAGTGTCGAGTAGTGGTAATGTTGGCAGTTGAGTAATAGTATATAGCTATTTTGATCATTCTCCTAATACAACGAGAGATTATGTAACTTACAGGGCAATCATTAGAAGTTCATAATTAATAGTCATTAATTTTTAATAAGCCTAGTTGTTGAAAAGGAACGTTAGATGTTAGCTGACTATGGACAATTACCTTGAGCATTCTCATGATAATAGGGGGAAGCAAGCACCTACTTAGATGGTTGTCGAACATAAGTTCCCAATAGACATCAAACGTCAGTATTTGACAAATATTGGATGATCATTCATAGGGAGGAGTTGGGAGAAAATTCACAATCAACTTAGTTATTTTCCGGATATAAGTGGAGATTAAACAATCAATAATATAATGATTGAAGGTAAGTGGCTAATGAACATTGAATCTCAAAATTTTTTTATTACCACGTATTAAATGATAATAAATGGAAGTATTAGGGTGATAATGGGTGTTTACTCAATCACTCTCCTCATAAGAAGGAGTACAACCTACCACGAAAATGAGCATCATATATCAATGATTAATGAACATCAAATGTTGGTCAAAGTCATTATCCAAATACTGATTAATGAAAAATGTCAAAGTTCAAGAGATAATGGGCATTTAGTTGAGTTATTTTCTCTATGAAAAGGAATGTAATGCCGAGAAAGATGGAGCCGTTATGGGGAATATTTTGAGTTAGATAATAGTCAACAATTTGATTAATCATTCTCCAAAAAGATGCACATTAGATAATAATGGTTAATTGACATTAGATGATGGACAGTGGAGAATGTCAAAAGTTAGGCTAAGGTCAATGATCAACTTAGTCATTCTCCTAATAAATAAGGATATGGCTAGGCAAAAGTTAGAGTAGTGGTTGATAGACATCTATCTGACATTAGTTATTAGCAATTATTAGGCAATAACTAATCGAATAGCATTGATTGTTCTTTAGATGATCATGCTCATATAGGGCCAAAACCAAGGGGAAATTTTAAGAGATTTCAAATTAATATGTTTTGTTCAGGTGCTAAAAAAAATGCAAAGTCCCCCTTGAAATCAAAAGAGTATGGCCAAATGTGATTTATTTCAATGGAAAAATATATAACTGCTTGGGATGTTTATTTATATTAATTACTTAAGATAACCTGCAGGAAGTCTAGATTTTTTATTTTAAATTTTGATGTAATTCATTTGCGTTGTAAAATGTGAAAATGCACATTTGAGTTGGGATACAAGCATCCAACTTAGAGCCAAAAGAGGAAGAAATATCCCTTATGGGAGAGTTATCTTCCATTTGGACATCCAAGTTATGATGATTTTCAATATCCAAAAAGAAAAGAAAACATCCTTTTATGGAAGAGTTTCTCTTTATTTTGATATCTAGACCTAAAGAATACAATGAGCTCGTAGGAGGACGAAAAGGTGAAGACTTAAAGAGTATCTCACTCAAAGTCACTTGTGTTAGTCTTATGATTAGAATTCGGGTTATTGTCAGTAGTACTCGGCCACTTTTAATTTCTATAGACCCTAGGATATAGCTAAAAAGGCATTTGTCTACAAACATTCATTTAATTAATTGATTTGATTGATCAATTGATTTAGTTTATTTGCGCATATGATTACATGCTTTTCCTAATTTCTTCTCTTTCATGTCGCTTTTGTTTTAGCATGAATACGCTGAGGATCATGACAGTATGAATAAAAAAAAATTACTCAAAACTTAAATAATTTTTTTAGGCTAACATAGCAACTCTAAAAATCAAAGAAGTAAGCTCGGGATTGACGGGAGTTCTCATTTAAGCATATTTTTATCTTCTCTTCCTTGTTAAGCACCTCCCCGCCTACGGGTTCTAGAAGGCCACTTGACCTATTAGGGTGCAGTCATATCAAGGAGATGTTGTGCAATCTCTATAAAAAAATTATTTTAAAGCCTTTTAAAATTTCTTCATATATTTTATGCATTTTATCGAGTTAATTAATATACATTGTATTAGAAACTAATTAAAAGTCTCTAAAATTTAATTGCATTTTCAAGCATTTTCACCATATTATCCTAAATTTCTAATAAAATGATTAGCTCTAATTAAAACATCTCTCCAAATCAAAATTTAAACCTCGATACATAGGATAGGCCAGGGTGTTTCTAGAATATTTCAGAATCAAAACACCTCCTACTCTTCCTCTTTTGAATTCTGAAAATAATTGTTCAAATTTTGAACCAATCCTAGTTAAAGTTCCAAACTCACTTTCTTT